TTGAGGAAGGAAGGTTTTATTTGGGGGTCACAGTTCCAGAGTATAGTCCATGATGGTGAGGAAGTCATGGCAGGAGCATGAGGCAGCTGGTGGCATTACATCTGCAGTCGGAAAGCATCGATGAATTCAGGTACTCAGCTCACTTTCTTCTTATTCAGTCCGGGACCCCAGGGCATGTGCTGTCCACACCGAGGGTGGGCCACTTCTACTAATCGGATCCATAGACTCTCACAGAGATGTGTGCCTCCTAGGTGATTCTACACTCTGTCAAGTTGAAATCCAATATAATTATCATACAGAATTAAAAAACAGCAAACCTATCCAGCTGGCATTTATCCTGGGCAAAGGGGGAATAAGAAGAAGGTTAGGAAGGTGGCTGCAGAGTCCAGTCAGAAGTGAGCAGCAGCCTGGCTCAGGGTAGAATCCAAGGTAGACCTGGCAGGACCTGCCAACAGATTACCCGGGAGTCTCCCCATCCAGCTGATCCTAGAGACATGCTCTCTTGGACTCAGCACAGCCCCTCTTTATATTCAGATGGGGCAGCTAAGACCTGTACGGCCCTTTCCTGAGCTCAGAACTGACCCTATCAACTGCAAACCATCCTGGCTCCAGCCTCCTGGAGAGAACTTTGGTTTCTCTTCTGTCAGGATGAACTGTTTGTTCTTCCTCTTTCTGCAACAGCTCTGTTTCCAGGAATTTACTGTTTTCTTTGATGGTCTTTGAGACTAACTAATTCAATAGTTTTGGCTTTGAGATTGACCTATGTACAACATGACACCCTGTCCCTCCTCTGCCCTTCCTTTTGTCACTATAGGGTGGTCATTCCCAGTCCATGCTTTAAAAAAGGCACCCTGACCCTTCTCTGCTGCAAGCTGACTCTCAGCATGATCAGCCCCAACTTTCCTCTTAGAGTTTAGATTCAACTGAGGGGCTGAAGATTCCCAAGGTTTCCTCCTCATCCCCACTTCCTGTTTGCAGAGCTATTCATGGCACAAAGATCTTCAAGCATTTGACAATGCCAACAGACACTGTGGCCAAATAAGGCATGTTTCATACTCCTTTAAAAAAAATATTCGAAAGGCAATGACTTCCCAGGACCACTGTGAACCTGGGAGCCTGGGGCTGATTGTGGTCTGACAGTCATGAAGCACTGTGTAAAGCTCTTGGACTGAATTTTCAACCTGCTCCTTACTGAACTCTCTTAACAATCATTCTAGTAATATGTGCCCAGCTAAGCAAGTTTCTGGTAAGAGCCTTCATCAAATTCAAGACAGCCTTTCCAAGAGCCTGTCGGAAAGTATAACCAGAAGTGACTAGACGAACAACTGTCATATGGATGCTGACTTGTTTGTGGACATCATGGGGGGTGGGAGGCAGGGGCAGGGGCAGGGGCAGAGAATTCTGCATATATTTTATTCTTGTCTTCCCATCTCAAGAGAATCTACTTTCTTGCATCTCAAGAAAGAAGGTTTGGAGTTCTGTCTTTCTGGATGGCGTACTATTTATCTGACTGGGTGATCCATTTCTCTGACCAGCTGGAGATCTTTCTTGCTCATTGGGAGTTTACGTGAGAGTCTAGCTATATGTCTCTCTAGCTGGAGACCTGCATGTCAATTCAGGCAGGCATCTGTCTGAGGGTTTTGTCAAATTAGGACTCTGTCTGGGGTTCACTTTCCAGTGAAGTCTTCTGTCTCACTAGTGTCTATCCAGAAGGTGACAGGTCTGTCACTCTGGGTTTGGTTCATTAGTCTTATTAGGCTAGAGGTCTATGTAGCTGGCCGCAGGTGTGTCTGCCAAGTGGCAGCCTGATTGTTCTTCTCAAGGATGACTGTCTACTACAAACTGTGAACTATTGTGTTCAGTATCTTGGATAGGCCTTTCTGCCTCCTCAGGGTCTGCCTAGACAGATTCTAATTTGTTGTGCCCCCACCTGTATGGCTGGAGATGTATTTGTACTCATCTGGGAGGCTTGTCTGCTCATCTACAGTATTATGTCTGACCAGCTGGTATCCTGCCTGGTAATCTGGCTAGCTTGTGTCTATCTATCTATCTAGCTTGGAATTTGGCTGGCAAATTTTGACTCGGGATCCATCTATCTCTATCCGAAGGTAGTTTGTCACCCAAAGGTCCAGCCATTATGTGGAGTCCCTATCTAGATGAAGGCTGGAAGTCCATCAATCTGCTAGCTGGGATTCTACCTGAGACTATGGCAGGTCAGGCTAGCTGTTCATGGTCTGAATAGTGGGATGTATCCAGACCATGCATGCCCAACTAGGGATGTATATCTGGCCAGTTGACTCAACTATCTGGCAGCTATCTGACAAAAAGGAGAAATGCCAAAGTGTCCACCCAAATAGGAGTTCTATGTAGGAGAAGCTCCATCTGTCTAGACAATTGGGAGTTTAGCAGATGACCTGTGATGTTTATACAGTCCCATTCTGTATATGGCTGGAAGGTCAGTCTGTCTGCACAGTTTAGCTGGGATGTCTGTCTCTCAGTTCATCTGGAATCTGTTTATGTCTGGAGTTCTGTCTAGCTAGAGTCTATCTGGCTCTCTAGCTGACAGAGGGAGGGTCTGACTTTGGGGGACTGGGATCACTGGCTAGGACTGGTCTTAAAGGCTATTGATTGATTGATTTCTCTCTGGCTGAGGTCCATCTGTTTTGCCATAGACAACCCCTCCAGAGGTGTGGGTATTTAGGGATCTAGCTCAATGTCCAAATTTGGTGAACCATATGTTTTCCTATCTAGAATCTCCTTTCTTCCTTCCTTTCTTTCTTTCTTTCTTTCTTTCTTTCTTTCTTTCTTTCTTTCTGCCTGTCTGGGGTTAGTCCACTTGGATATAGCTAGACTTGACCTGGATCTGTCTGAATAGCATGAGGGCCATCGACCTATCCTCAGGGACCATCTGCCTCATCCCCCTGTGGTCACCTGATTGTCCGGGCAAAGGAGGTCCCAGTACTGAGGATATATCTCTCATTCTGTGGGGAGGGTTCCATCTCTGGAAGCTTACCAATAGATTATTATATCCTCTTGGGTATGTGCGGAGGGGGCTTGCAATGCCTACTCCTGATGTTTTTTCTTAATTTTTCTCAGGGTAGATTCACAACCAGCGATCTCCCACTTACCTCTCCAAGCCTCGGGCTTTGATTGCTATTAACCATTGGGCAAAACCCTTATTTTTTCCACCCTGAGAAACTTTTGTTTTGATGCAGACCCATAAATCCTGTTCCCAGCACAGCGCACAGCAGCATTTTGGCTGCAGAAGTCCAGCCCCTACTGAGCTTACCTGGCACAGCCCTCACACCCTTGTCCACTCCGCTGGAGGATCCCGTGGCCCTTTGGGTCTTCCAATGCGCAAGTTGAAGCCTGAGAGAAGGGTGCCATGCAGAAGTTGAAGCGTGAAAGGGTAAACTCTCCGAAAACCCCATCCGTGCATCCCCAGATCCTGGTATGTGAAGGACAGCCTGAGTCCCGCACTCCCAAACTCCTGGGGCTTTCCAAAACTGCACCCTGGGCTCTAACTGACTTACCGAGGGCACCCGTCTGCGCTCCATTTGTTACTTCTTCATAGGCATCAGGCCCGGGAGGGTTTTGATCCGCAGGAACTGAGGGCGGGAGAAACCCTACGGGTCAGCTCAAGCAGCCTTCTGGAGTCCCAGTGACTCTAGAGCTCAGCCCCAGACTTGTCTTCCCGAGGTAGCCGGTTGGAGGCGGAGCCTTGGGCGTCGCCAAGTCCGGAGGTCTGTCTTTGGGGCCCCGCTAGACCCAACCTCTCAACTGAAACCTACCTGACATGGGGTTCACTTTCGGGTTTGAACCCCGACAGTCAAGAGTCCCGGGATGAGGCCAGAATAGGTCTGGAACTGCCGCTTAGACCCTCCATCCCCACCCGGAGCAGGTGGGGAACATGGGAACAGGTGCGCGCGGGTCGCCCTCACCCCGCATCCCGGGCGGGCCCCGACTCACCATGGCCGGGTGGTGTCGTCCCCCTCGCGTCCTCGGTGTGTGCCACCGGCCGCTGGGAACGCGGAGCCACCTGGCTGTAGATTGGGGCGTCCGCGCTGCTAGGCACCCGCGTCCCCGGCCCTGTGCCCGCGGGGGCGCCACGCTTCTGCACCACGGCGTAAGTGTCGGCCATGGGAAGGGTCGGGGGCCCGGGCACCGAGATGCTCCTGCAGCGGGCAGCAAGCAGAGGAAGTGAAAGCGCCGAGCACAGGGAGAGCAGGGGAGGGAGCAAGCTCACCCCAGGCTGCCGGCTTCCTTCCTGCTTGCCTGCCCCAGTCCCCAGAGCAGGAAAGGAGGGAAGGGGCGGGCCACCCGAGGGCTGAAAGCGGGGTTCCGTGTCCCTAGTACCCATACAGCAGGAGGGGACGGGGACAGATTGCCAAGTGGAACTAGTGAAGGCCCAAGCGAAGGCAAGCGTGTGTGTGTGTGTTACCCCAAAACTCCTACATGAGATGGGAGACAGACACAGGTGAGTCCCCCACAGCCTGACAGTATGCAAAATGAGACTAGACTGTCTCAAAACACGTAGAAGGTGAGGCCCCATGCCTAAGGTTGTCCTCTGACCTCCCAGTAGTGTGTACACACAAGTGTATACACACACACACACACACACACACACACACACGCGAGAGAGAGAGAGAGAGAGAGAGAGAGAGAGAGAGAGAGAGAGAGAGAGCCTAAAACTTATTTGCCTAACTAGTTACGGTCTGGAAGAGCAAGGGAAAGCTAATCCAGACTGTAGAGGTTGGTGGGTCAGAGAAACAGTGGGCTGTGAGTGTCAGCCAGTACCTGAGAACCCCGCCTGGAGGGCGGGATGTGGCAGACAGGGCTGGGGAGGTCCTGAGAGATGAGGCATCCTTGCAGATTGGGGCACAATTCTGCAGGAAATCAGGCGGGGAGGGTGGTGAGGCCACACTCCTTAAGCTGGTCACTGTGGGTGCTGAGGTAAGCTCATGAGGGGACAGCCTGGGGAAGGAGCCCTGAGGAGGCAAAGGCGCCTTTCACAGTGAGTCGGTCCCTGTTCTCAGGAGGGGAGTGAGAGTGTTGCCCAGGAGCTCCTTTGTACCTCCTTGAGATTCTGGTAGTGGGGGCTGGCTTTCTGGAGAGTACGGGAGAATAGCTGGGCCACTGTGTGGTACAGGAACCTGTACTGCTCCTGTTGGGGTGAGTGGTCGGTCACTGAGAAGGGAAACCGGGGAAATACAGAAGCCTCCCTGTGTCCCCGGGAACGGGAAGGTGGGGCAAGCACACACCTCTGTCTGCACCGCAGCAGGCCGCTGTTTCCGCATCTCAAGGACCACGTCGAAGAGGCTGAAATTGGGTGGGATTGTCTGGGACAGAGAGGGGGAGTGTGAACAGGCCGTGGTAGGCAGGTGTGGGACACACCGCACACAGAGAAGACGGCCTCATACCTGGGTCAGCAGCAGCTGCCTCACGTAATCAACAGCACACAGGACACCTGTTCGTCCGCAGCCGGCACTGACAAGCAAGAATCAGAGCAGGCTCCATCACCGCCTGCTCACAGCGACTTTTTCCCCGTTCTTCCATTCTTGCTCTCCTCCCCCTTCCCATAGGTCTTGCTGTGTTGCCCAGGCTGGCCTGGACTTCTGGATCTGTTTCCTAAGTGCTGGGAAGGCAGGCCTGCTGAACGGTACAGATAGATGCCACAGTCCCTTCTACATGGAGAATTAGGAGCTGAGCTGAGGGGGATCCCCTGCAGCATCTCTTAAATTGAAGGATCCCTAGATTATAACTTCAAATAAAACCTTTTATGTACACTAGCATGCACTCATATGGTGTGAGTGTGTGTGAGAGAGAGACAGAGACAGAGAGAGAGACAGAGAAACAGAGACAGAGAAACAGAGACAGAGGAGACCAGAGATCAACATTATATTTGAGTCAGGGTCTCTTACTAAACTGGGTGCTCACAAATTGGCTTGACTGGCTGGCTAGCAAGCCCCACGGATCCACATGTCTACCCTTCACCCAGCCCTTGGGTTACAGGGACAAGCCACCTGTCCTGGCTATTCCTGGGTGCTAGAGACCTGAACTCAAGTCCTTGTACGGCAAGTACCTTACCCACTAAGCTATTTCTTCAGAGCAAGAAAACCCTTTTTATTCACTTAGGCTTGTGACATATCAGCTATATGCGTACTCCCCAGTAGGCAGCCTGTGCTCGACAAATGCTAACGATTCCAGCTCCAGCTCGTTGTATCATGAATATGTGGCTAAAAGTTTCTCCAACGAGGCAACTGAAAGGGGAAGGCTGGTTCCAAGCCATAACCTCTCTTCCTTGCTTTTCTGTCTCACCCTCTCCGGTCTGCCTCCCCACACCCCCAGAAAGCCCATTTCCCTAAACCTGCAGTGGACACAGAGGGGTCCAGGACCAGCTCCTTGGAGACGATGGGCTTCCTCCACCATGGTGAGAATGTGATCAGGACTGCTGGGAACCCCGTGGTCAGGCCAAGACATATACTGTAGCTGGCGCACACAGCGGGATTCCTGAACAGAGGATAGAAAAACATACTAGAGTTCTAAGCATGTTCCATTTAAATCCACCAGATAAGGCTCTGCTGAAGAGCCCTTGCATATAGCATGTACAAGGCTGTGGGCTCCATCCCCAGCACCACAAAGACAAACAAACCCACTGCGTTATAACCGAGGGGGATGAAAACTGATTACTATCGTGAGCGCCCATTTTACAGCCGTGGAAACAGCTCCTCCCATGCAAGAGCCCCTTCACCTTTGCCCTTTTGGTACCTTCTGGAATGTAACCTGGAGGGTCCTGAGAATGATGTCTGCATTCACTGGTGTCTCCTTTGTCTGAGCATGTGAGAAGAGGAAAGAGAAAACAAATGAGAAGCAGAGACCTTCAGCGACACATTTCATATTTCTAGAAAGCAAGGGTTTGGGTTTTGTTTTTGTTTTTGAGACAGGTCTTGCTATAGAGTCCAGGCTGGCCTCCAGCATGAGATCCTCCTGCCTCAGCTTCCCATGTACTGGGATGACACGTGTACTACCAGGCCTGATGGAAGCAAAGCATTCTTGATTAAAGCTAAATACTAAAAAACATTTAAAAAAAATTCTCTGACCTGTGCTGCTGTTCTTATATTCCCGGGATCATAGATTTATTTCCCATGTGGTTAAGAGACAGGAGAGCTTGCTGGTCATGGCTTACAATTGAGACTCTGTTAGGCTAGCTCACTTGGTGTGTCCTTGTTACAATTCTCAATCCTCAGTGAACTTATGGGTTTTGTTATCTTGTACATTCTCATTACATATTTTTTTAACTTCAAAAGAATATTTTAAATGGCTTCACAGTCAGCTAGGTGGTGGTTATACATGCCTTTAATCCCAACACTCGGGAGGAAGAGGCAGGCAGATCTCTGTGAGTCTGAGGACAGCCTGGTCTACAGATTGAGTTTCAGAACAGCTAAGGCTACATGGAGAAACCCTGTCTCAAAAAAAAAAAAAAAAAAAAACAAAATCAAAAAAACAAAAAATAAAAACCAGGTTTCACAGCCAATGATATTTCCTTTAGGCAAGTATTATGTTATTGTAAATATAGCCATATATTTTTAATTCAAATAAATTTCTATACTGATAATATTTATAGATTTTCCTTTGGCCCAAACTTCTCCCAAAGATTTCAAGAAAACTTTTGTCAGAAAGGGAAAGAGGAATGACTATAGAAATCAAATTAATCCATCCATATTCAACACAAGAGAGTTCTATTGTTCTGAAATAGAATGGCCTCATTGCATCTGTTAATGGTTAACTTCCTCAATGAAGGACTACTTCCTCCAGTTCTCTGCACATGGTAAAGAAATAGGAATTGCAGAAACCTGAACAGGTAGATTTGGTTACAGAGGTAACAGTAGACATTGTCAAAAGTGCTAGGGCCTGGGAAGAACACTTACACAGCATGTATGAAGTGTTGATTCCCTTGATTCTCTCTCCAGCAACACACACACACACACACACACACACACACACACACACACTCATGACAACAATAAAATAATAAAAGTGAAAATAAGTTTTAAAAGCTTTAAGTTGTGTTCTGGGGGCATGCATGACAAACCCAGAGTATTCTGCGTTTCCCACGGTGTAAGAGAGCTGTGAGAAAATGGCTCATCCTTCCAGGTCCAGCCCCAGGCTTCTCATTCTGTACATCTTCCTTGAGATCTCCCACACCTCCCAATGCCTGCAGAGCCCTCCTTGTTCCCACCCACCCCATCCCTGCCCCAGCTCACCAGGGTGATGCAGAAAGGCCCAATCTGCAGAGGCTCCTGCTTCTGGGCCCAGTACCTTTCACACTTCTTCTGCAGAGGGAGGGAGGAAAGGCAAGAGTGAACAGGGCGGTCACTTCCAGAGTGACAAGACACCCTAAGTGTGACGTGTGGAAGGGCCAGCTGCTGGGGTTGTAATAGAGCCCAGCTACAGAGTGGGACATTAAACACGTGCACACTCCATAGGGTCAAGCTTTTGTATTTGTATTTATTTATTTATTTTGTTTTGTTTTGTTTGTTGTTGTTGTTGTTGTTGTTTTTGAGACAGGGTTTCTCTGTGTAACAGCTCTGGCTGTCCTGGAACTCACTCTGCAGACCAGGCTGGCCTTGAACTCACAGAGGGGCAAGCTTTTGATCATACTGGGAGAAGATGCTCAGGACATCTTCCTACGGCCTGGAACTAGAACTAAGTCATAAACCACTGCTTCTCAGCACAGATACGAGCGCTGCAAGGCTGTGGTCACTAAGTGGACTACTGCCTCGATGTGTCACTAAGCTGTAGAAACTAAAGAAGCGCAGGTGATGTCTCAGAGAGGGCAACACAGAATTTTCAGGGAAGAGAGAGCTACGCAAACAAACCAGGGAAACAGAAAGGGCCAGATGATAAAATATCCAAGAGATTTGGCCACCTTCCTAGAAAAGTAAAACACTTCAACACAATCTGACACTGAACTATGCGGCACTTAAAACACCCAGCATCCAATAACAATGTCCTTGACAAACAAAGATATAGTGACATGTGACTTGTTACCAGGGAAATAATGAAGGAGCAGAAAAAGACCCAGAAGCAACAGAGGAAAGAGGCAAAGACCTTCAAATAGCAATATAAATAGTCAAAATGGAAAGATGAATAGAACAAAGAATGAAGTGTGAGATGCAAAACCATTCCTAAATGGAATTCTACAACACTTGAAATTCACTAGTAGCAGGTTAAACCCAAAAAGAAAGAAAAGTGCTGAACATGAATACATTGCAACAGAAACAAAGCAAAAAGAGAAGATAGGAAAACAAGAGAATCAGTCCTTTGTGGGACACAACAGGTGATACCTGGAGTCCAGAAGAGGAGAGATGGACAGAAAAAAATTTAATTAAAAAATTAATTCACTATTTTATGTGTTGGGGTGTTTTACCTACATGTATGTCTGGACACTAGGTACATGCCTCGTGCCTGAGGCTAGAGAAGGGCATTGGATCTCTTGGACTGGAGTTGCAAATTGTTGTGAGCCCCCATGTAGATTCTGGGAATTGAACTTGGCTCCTCTGGAAGAACAGTCAGTGCTCTTAACCACCGAGCCATCTCTCTAGTCCCAGGGAGAACAGAAATCATACTTGAAGAAATAAAAGCTGAAAGTTTCCCAAAGCTGATGAACTAGAGGCTAATAAAGTTGATAATCTGCACTGAGGGGGGAAATACATAAAGAAAATGATGTTGAAGCACACCATGACCCAACTGACAAATAAATGAAAGAAAAATGATAATAATAAAAAAGAAAGAAAGTTAATAATAATAAAGAGAAAAGTCTTAAAAGCAAAGCAAGTGGGATGACAATTTCTTTCAGAAATCATTTTTTTTATTTGTTTGTTTTTTTGTTTTTTCGAGACAGGGTTTCTCTGTGTAGCTTTGGAGCCTATCCTAGCACTTGCTCTGTAGACCATGCTGGCCTCGAACTCACAGAGATCTGCCTGCCTCTGCCTCCTGAGTGCTGGGATTAAAAGCGTGCGCCACCAACTCTCGGCTGTTCTTTCAGAAATTCTACAATCCAGAAGGCAATCATGTGATATCCTAAGAATATTGGAATAAAAAAGAAACCTTGTGCTAGATAGTTAGTTCAGCTGGTAAAGTTGCTTGCCACCAAACCTGACAACCAGAGTTTTAGCCCCAGGTCCCACATGGCCAAAGGAGAGAAGTAACTCTTGAACAGCTGTTCTCTGACCTCCACACACACACATGGGCCATGGCACACTCATATTCCCCCCTCAGGTAAATTAATAAAATAGAAACCTTGTCATACACACACACAAAAAAAAAATGAGACAAGGGTGCTTGAGAGATGACTCAGAGGTTAAGAGCACTGGTTGCTCTTCCAGAGGACCTGAGTTCAATTCTCAGCAACCACATGGTGGCTCACAAGCATCTATAATGAGATCTGGTGCCCTCTTCTGGTATCCAATCATACGTGCAGGCAGAACACTGTATATATAATAGATAAAGATCTAAAACAAAAACAAAAACAAAAAAAACTAGGCAAATTCATTACATGCAAATCATGAGGAGAAGATTCTCATATAAATGAAACAGGACACTAGATAGAAACTTGAATGTATAGAAAACAGTAAAGAACAAAGACAAAAGCAGGTATGTGGCTACTTTAAAACATTTCTCACATTTTTGCCTCCTGTAAAAAACAATCTAGTGGCATTTGCTAAACAAGTAATGCAGAATCAATACCAACCCTTCACACATCCTTGCAAAAACAAAACAAGAAAACCTGAAGGAGCATGAACATGACTTAGCACACTAAAGCCGAGTGTGATCCTACCCAAACCAGGGATCACAAGGAAAACAAAGTACCCAACAATGTCTCATGAACTTAGAGCCCAAATTCTCAAGAAAATACTAGCCAACTATTATACATCATGACCAAGCAGGATTAATCCTAGGAATGCACAATTTTTTGACAATGAAAATCTACTAGTGTCAGAGCTGGGGAGATGGTTTGGTGGGAAATCCAGCACTTGCTGGAGATCCAAGTTTGGATCTCCAGAGCATATGCAATGCTGCACACAGTAGAGTGTGTTTATAATTCTAGCATTCTTTCAAGACAGAAGACACAATCCCTGGAAGCTTTCGGGTTAGTGACAAAGCAACAGAAGACCCTGTTTCCAACAAGGCGGAGGGTAAAGACCAACACCAGAGGTTGTCCTG